AGGGGAGGCTACCAATCAATCAATTAATCAAGATGTTTTTTGTTTTTGTTTTTTTTTCCCCAACCCACCCCTTCCTAATATTCATTTTTTTTTCATTTTTTTCTCTTTGAGGGGGTGGGGTTGGGGTTGCACAACCCCAATCTGCCCTCAAACCCTTCCCCCCCCCCAAAAAAAAGCTGGCCGCCACACGGCCGCAAAGTCGCGGGGTCGCGGCCGCGGCCGCGGCCACGCATGGCCGCCTCTGGGGGAGATTCAAAGCATGCCACTTGTCTCTAGTGCTGATGTGGCATTGGCCACGCTGTCTACATGAGGTGTTTGGTCGCAACAAGGAGGGAGATCGGGATCTGTGGATGATTGGGGAATTGGTACTCACCTGAGATTGACGCCAATATTGTGCACTGCTGTTGACTTCATTGTCTCCCCGAGATGACAGTGCCACGTGGCACTTCTATGTGATTAGGACTTGTCAGACTTATTACTCGATATTGATTGACGACGTGGAGATGAGGGGGAGCCCAGAGGAGTGGGTAATGTTTGGGCTACTCTTTTGGTGGTCACTGATTGTCTCTTCCACCCTCTCATCTATCTATTCCCCCTCCACTCTCTTCGTCCATTGGTAACGAGACATTGTATCGATATCACTTTCACGATTACTGGTGACATTGTGCAGATCTGAGTCTACTTGTGCTTCAACGTCTGACGAGTATCTTCCAGTCTGGGTTCATTACAATTTGGTATCAAAGCATACCTCCTTCATCGCGATCCGCTATCAGGTGTTGACGTGGCACCCAAGTCAGTGTGAGGTGCCACATGTGCAGGAAGGAAACGCGTTTATTAACGCGCACGGTTAATATCACATGTCTAGACATTGAGTACCGCACGTGCGTGCAGCCTCTTGAAGGTGATGATGTGGACACACTAAAGAAGATTGGGATACCGGCGAGTGCATCGTTGCCAACAGGCTAACGTGGCACTGGTGAAGAAGAGAGAGTGTGGATATTGGGATCGCTGACGTAGCGAGCTGACTACGTGGAATGAGGTAGGGGTGTTGACGTGGCATCTTACTACTATTGGCAGGGCATTGTCTGACGTGGCACGTCTCTGTTACCGCGCGTTCATTGAACGCGCGTTTCGCGTTCAGTTTATGAACGAGGTGAACGCACGTTCAGTGAACGCCCCTGAACACGTTTGATGCGTTTGCGCAGGGTGCTATGCGGGGTGGGGGGGGGCTGTGGGCAGTGTGGGGAGCGGCGGCGGTGCTTGGGAGGGGTTGTGGGCAATGTGGGAGCGGCGGCACTGTTTGGGG